GGGCCTGGGGTGGGGGCGGGGGCAGAGGTCGGGGTGGGGGGCACTTGGCCTGAAGGGTCAGGGAGAGGGGGATCCCAGAATGGACCAGAGAGAGAATGAGGGACAAGATGGGAAAATTGATGGAATAGAACAGAGAGACAGGAGAAAAGGAACAGGAAGGATGAGGGAGAAAATGGGAAGAGAAGCAATAAGGAACAGGAGGAGAGAGAGAGTGAGGAAGAGAAAGGAGGGAAGGAACAAAAAGAAATGAGAGAGTGAGGAGGAGGGAAGGAACAAGGAAAAAAGATGGTGAAAATGAGAAGAGGGAGAAAGACAAGGAACGAGAGGAGGCGAGGATGAGAGACAAAAGAGGGGACAAGGAAGAAAAAAGGAAGTGAGAGACAAAAGAGGATGGAACGAAAAAGAGGAGAGGGAAAGAAAATGGGAAAGAAGAGAGAGAAAGAGGAAATGAAAAAGAAGCAAAGGAACAAGAAGGAAAGATGAGGGAGATAATGGGAAGGGAAGAGGAAGAAGGAATGAGAGAGAGGAGGAGAAAGGGAAGAAGAAAGGATAAAGAAGGAACGAGAAGGGAGGATGAGAAGAAAACAGTGAGAGGGGAATGAGAGAGGAAGGAAGGAACAAGAAAGAAGAACAGAGAAAATAGAGGGAATGAGAAAAAGAGGAAGGAGGGAGGACATAGAGGGGAGAAGAGAGAAGACAGAAAGAATCAATCAGAGGAAGAGAGAAAAAGGTAATGAGAAAGAGGGGGACAAGCAAGAAAAGAAAACAAAAGGAGTGAAAAAGACAAGCGAGGAAGAAAGAAGGAGGGAATAGGAAAGGAAAGAGAAAGTAGTGAGAAAGAGGGACCAAGAAAGAAAGAGGAGAGAAAAGACAGAAGAAAATGAATAAGAAAGAAGAAGTTAAGAGGGAATGGGAAAGAGAAGGAACAAGAAGAAAGAATGAGAGCAAATGGAAAAAAGAGGGATTGATAAAGAAGGAAGGAGATGGAGGGAATAAGAAAGAAAGGATCGAAAGTGGAAAAATATGAGAGAAAAAACAGGAATTGAAAAGAAAGGAGAAGATGAGAAAGTGAAGGAACAAGCAAGAAGACCATAAGAAAAGAAAGAAGAGATACAAATAGAGGGAATGAGGAAAAAACAAAAGAGAAAGATAGAGAGAGGGGGGAATAAGATGAAGGAAAAAAGAGCAAGAAGACACAAGGAGAATGACAGGAGGGAGAAACAGAGGGAATGAGAGAAGGAACAAAAAGAGCAAAAGGGAGAAGAAGGAGAGGAGGAGAAAGTAAAGGTACAAGAAAACGAAAGAATACGGATGAATAGAGGGAATGAAGAGGAAAGGAGAAAAATAGAGATGGAACAAGATGAAGGAAAAAAGCACAAAAAGAAAGAGAGGAGAGAGAATGAGGGGAAGAAGGAAAGGAAAGAAAAGAAGAGAAAAGAAAAGGGAGAAGAGAAGGAACAAGAAAAGGAAAAAAGAGGAAGAAAGAGGGAATGAGAAGACAGGAATAGAGAAAGAAGGAATAAGACAAAGAAGAGAAAAAAGACAAAGGGACAAGTCAAGAGGAGGAAAGACAGGGAATCAGAAAATTGGGTGCAAATAGAGAGAGAAGGAATATAACAAAGAAGAGAGGGAAGGCAGAAAGAGAAGGAAAAGGAAGAAATAGAGGGAATGAGAGGAGGAGAGTTGCGGAGAGGTGGAATAAGGAAGAGGGCAGAGACCAAGAGGAATGAAAGAGGAGGAGAGCAGAGCCAGCAGGAGTTAGGACAGGCAGAGGGATGGGGGACAAGAAAGAAATGGGAAACAAGACAGAAAACGAAGGAGCGATAGAGAAAGAAAAGCAGAAGAGAAGAATGGGAGAATGAAAGCAGGAGAAAAGGGAAAGAAAGGAAGAAGAGAAGAGAGGAAACAGAAAAGGGATGAGGCCAAGTAAAATTAGGGAAGTGGAGTTAGAAGGTGGAAGAAAGGCAGGAGAAAGGGGCAAAGGAGAAGAACAAAAAACAGATGGAGGAAGAGAAGGGAAGGTAGAGATTGAGAAAATTGGGGCAGGGAAGTAAGAGAGAAGGGAAGATGCTTGTTCCACTCGGTGCAATAAAGATTGTCCCATTCCCAGTCCCCCCCGCAGCCTGGGGTCCAGTTCCCCCCCTGCCCCATTCCCAGTCCCCCCACAGCATGGGGTCCAGCCTCCCTTTGGTGTCATCACCCTCCAATCTCAGCCCCACTAATCCCTGGGATTCAGCCACCCCAGAATGGCAAGCAGACGGGAGAATCCTTGGATATGGTGGAGGGTTGGGGAGAGGAGGAGCTATGGGGAAGGGAAGGGCATTGTGGGGCATCAGATGGGATGGGAGAAGGGGTGGAGCCAGGAGGGAGCCAATGAAGAACCCTACAGTTGGCCAGCCCAACATTGGGATTCCTCTGTTGACCAATCCAAGGTTGACCTTCCTCCATTGGCCAACCCAATGTTGACCAGCAGCCAGGAAAGCCAGGGGCTGATGGGGAAGAAGGGAAACGGCTGAGCCAAGCGTCTGGAAGCCATTCAGTAGCAGGTGAGAGGCCTCCAGTGGTGGGTCACCACGCAGTCCAGAGGCAGTGCCGTGGGCTCCTTGGTGGAGGTGGCCATGATGAGGGTGGGGCTGGCCCAGTGCCTGGGTCCCATAGAACTGGAAGAGCTCATTCTGTTTGCTCCCTCCCCCGCCGGGCTGCCCCAAAAGCCCAGGCAGAGCCAGGGGCAGCCCTTGGTGGAGCAGCAGGACATTCTGCATATGCTTTTCCGAGGTCATGTGGATGCGCAAGTTGCGGGAGATGCTGGTCTCATAGCTACAGACTTTGCACTGCCAGGAGGTCTTGCCCTTGGTCTCCTTCTCATCCAGGGTGGGTGGGACAGGGGCAGGCGGGGTGGGTGGGGGCCCCACCTGGGACCCGCCCCCAACATTGGCCTGGTAGCCCTGGAGGTTGGCGAGGTGCTTGTCGGACTGCATGTGGATGCTGAGGTTTCCCTTGGTGGTGGTGGAATAATTGCAGGCCTCGCAACGGTAGGGCTTGTAGCCACAGTTGTAGCTCTCGCCTCGGGCAAGCCGTGGGTGGGGGCCACCAGCGCTGCAATAGGCGCAGTGGCTGTTGCTCTCTGGGTGTTTCTCCTTCATGTGAACGTCCAAGGTCTGCTGATACTTGTAATGCCAGTTGCACTTGGGACACTTGAGGGTCTTGCAAGAGTTGCGAGAATGGAGCAATGACATCTGACTGGACAGGGCCAGGCCGGGGTAAGCCAGGGCAGTGTAGTCATCCCCAAAGCCAATGGCAACTGTGCCAGCGTTGGGGTTGGCCCTGTCACTGCCTAACCCGACACTGGTGTCTTCATTGGCCAGTCCAATGCTGGCGTCTTCATTGGCCAGCCCAATGTTGGCGCCTTCATTGGCCAAACCTTCGTTGGCCAACCCAGCGCTGGCAATGCCACTGAACTCATCCTTGACCTCACTGTTGGCCAACCCAATGTTGACCTTGTTGGCTGTCCCCAGCGGTGGCACTTTGAGGACATCCGTGCACCTGGCTGGGCTTTGGCCATAGGAACTTTGGTCTAGGAGAGGCCTCAGTCCATCCTTATCTTCCTTCCGGCCTTCAGCCTCCTCTTCCTCCTCCTCCTCCTCCTCTTCATGGGTCTCCTCTTCCTTCCCCACAACAGCCCAGGCTGTGCCTCCAGCCCTCAAATCTTTGGCATGGGGTGGCTTGTGTCCTCCAGGGGGGCCGCTCTCTTCCTCCTCCTCCTCCTCTTCCTCCTTTACATTCACCCATCCAGAAAACATTCCAGCGCTGAGGTCCGCACCGCCGGTGGTGATATTTGGTTCAAGGAAGCCGAGGGTGGTGCCCTGGAATGCAGCAGGAGCCCCTCGCAACAGGGCCTGGCGCTCCCAGGGGCTCAGCCGTGCCCCATGGGCTGAGCGGGCATGGATCGCCAACGAGCAGCCCCGGCGGAAGGAGAGGCGGCAAACCAGGCACAGCCACATGGAAGGCCGCATTGGTTCTCCATCTGGCCCAGCTTTGGCTTCCCCCTCCATGTCGGCAGCGGCATCTTTGGGTTCGGTGGAAAAGTTTTTGGCAGGGGTGGTGGGAGCGGAGGCCCCGGCTAGTCGGTAGCTGCGGAAGGCGCCGGGTGGGAGCTGCTCGCCCGGCGCTGAGGTATTCTGGGACATTTGGTCAACAGACATAAAGCCTTGGTTGGAGCCGCCATGTTGGACGTGGAGGGTGGTCACCGGCAGGGTTGCCGTGGCGCCGGGGTAGCCCTTTGGTAAGAGAACGTGGCTGTCTGCAAAGACGTAGGCCGAGCCATCAGGGGAGAAGAGCAGATAAGCCGTTCTGCCTCTGTCTTCCTCATCTTCTTCCTCCTCATCAGCATCATCATGTCTCTCCTCTTCGGCGGTGTCTCCGGGGGGTGTTGCAAGGGAGGGGCTCGGCACCGCTATGCCGAAGCCTGCTGGGAGTAGCGGGGCAGACAAAATGGCCGCTGGGAGGCCAGCGGGACTGGGCCTCAGGGGCTCGGCGGGGGCAGGTGGGGAGGCAGGGGCATCTGGGAGGGGGGGTTCTTTGGTGGCGGGGTCCTGAGGGGGCCGGGCATCCTGCCCATGGCCGGGTGGGCCAACGCCGGGGGTGGAGGAAGAGGAGGAGGCCGAGTTAGAGGGGGTGTCCATGGCGATGGAGGCGGGAGGAGCACGGAGGGATCATCTCAGCGTGGGAGCCGAGACCCTGTGGAGGGTGAGGAGTGGGGAGAGTTAAGGAGGGGGGAGGGAAGGCCCGGGGCCTACCCAGGGACGCCACCCCAGATCCAGCCCCTGGCGGACAGAGGGCTTGGGGGAGGAAGCAGAGGCCCCCCTGCCTCTCAAGAAGCAGAGGCTGCTGGGAGCTGACAAGGCCTGGGCTCATTTCCATTGCAGATCATTCCCCACCCCCCCCAACATATGGGAAAAATTTGCATTGCAAATGAGGCTGGGCCTCTGAGCCAGCCCAGCTGGGTGGGGGGGAGGGGGGCTCCCACCAGGCAGGGGGGTGGGGAGGGGCTGCCCCTCCCCCACCCCCTCTGCAGAGCAGCCCAGAGATGCAAATAGCCTCATTAAGCAGCAGGCGGCATAATTAGCTTGAGCTGCATATTTATTAGGAGACTCACACAGGCTCAAGTGGAGGAGGGGAGCCAGGGGGAGGGGCTATGGGGGGGTTGTGATTGCTTCTACCCCAGCAGGGGGCACTAGGGGGGCCCCCCTCTCTTCCCATAATGCACATGGGGTGCTCATTTGCATATTCGGGTGCTCGTTTGCATATCATTTGCACCTGCCAGTGAGCCCTGAATTTCTGGGCCATGACAGGGTAGAGAGGGGGGAGGGGAGGGGCTTGTGGGGAGGTCCACCCATTCGTTTGCATATGCAAATAAGGATTTACCACAGGGCCAGGGCAGATCCAAGGGTGGTGTTAGTGTCAGAGCGGGTGTCAGAAAGTGGTGCAGGAAGTGTGTAGTGTTGGTTGGGGGTGTTGTGTGTTAGTAGTGGGGCATGTTGGGGGCATAGTTGAGGGTTGGGGGATATGGGGCAGTGTGTGTGTATCGCTTCTCAGCCTCTTGAAGGCTCAGATCAAGTGTAGTTGCATGTGTGATGGGGTGTACAGTGTTGCTGTGTATGCTTTGTGTTGGTGGGTGTGATTGTGTCAGTGTGTGTGGTGGTGGGGTGTACATGAGCATTGGCGACTGTATGTAGTGTTGGGTGTGATTGTGTCAGTATGTGTAGTAGTTAGGTGTACATGAGCATTGGAGAGTGTATGTAGTATTGGTGGGTGTGATTGTCAAGTGTGTAGTGGTGGTGGGTGTTCATGAGTATTGGTGAGTGCGTGTAGTGTTGCGTGTGATTGTGTCAATATGCATAATGATGAGTGTACATGAGCATTGAGTGTGTGTAGTGTTGGTGGGTGTGATTTGTGTCTGTGTGGTGATGGTGGGTGTACGAGCATTGGTGTGTGTGTGTAGTATTGGGTGTGACTGTGTGTGTGGTGATGGTGGTGGGCATACATGAGCGTTGGTGACTGTAGTGTTGGTGGGTGTGGGTGAGTGTTGGTGTGTGTTTGTAGAGTTGATGGGTGAGGGGGTGTTTATGTAGTGTTGACGGTGAGTGTTGGTGGCTTTGCGTAATGCTTATGGGTGTTGGTGTGTGTGTGTTGTTGGGGGTGTGCTTATGTGTTAGAATGTGCTGGTGTGTGAGTTTGTGTATACAGTGGCTGTATGTTAGGAGTGTGTAGCTGTGTGGCTGTGTAGCAGTTAAGCTCATCAAGGAGTGCGTACACCCCGCAGAGAGATGCATAGTCAATTTTGCATCCTCTCTCCATAGGTTGGGGCACACATCCCAGGGTGTGTGTTGTTGACCTCAGAGTGTTGTGCAGACTGTGTTGTCTTCGTGTGTATACATGGGAGCCCATATACACACAACTAAGAGGTTGTGTGGTCATGTGGTGTGTGTAGCTGTGTGAATCGTGTGTGACTATGGTTGTGTAGACACAAGGTGTGTTTGGACTGTTTGCAGTTGTGCATGGTGATAAGTTGTGTGTGGCTGTGTTTGAAGGTGTGACCATAAATTTTCTGCTGTTGTATAGCCATGACTTATGTGGTTATGTGGAGCATGTGTGACCATGAACTGGGTGTGGTTGTGCAGGCATGACTTGTATGTTTGCAGTTGTGAGTAGCTATAAGTTGTGCAGGAAGATATGATCATGGATGGTGTGCAGTTGTGTGTGCCCATGAGTTGTGTGGTTATATGAAGTGTGTGCATCTGACTGTAAATTACGTGTAGCCATACCTTTTGTGTGGTTCTGTGTAGCCGCATGGTGTGTACGGTTGTGTGAAGTGTGCGACTGTGAATTGCATGTGGTTGTGTAGTCACAAGGTGTGTGTGAACTGTTCGCAACTGTGTATGCCTATACGTTGTGTGTCAAGGTGTGACCATAAACTGCATGTGGTTGTACAGCTATGACTAGGGTGTGTGTGTGTGCATGGCCATGACTTGTTAGTTGTGTGTGGTTATATGGCCATGAGTTGTGTGTGGCTGTGTGAAGTGTGTGAGACAATGACTTGTGTGTGGTTGTGTGGCTATGTGGTATGTGCAGTTGTGTGAAATGTGTACGACTGTGAATTGCGTGTGGTTGTGTTAGCCATGAGTTGTGTGTAAACAGTGCAATTATGCATGATTACCAGTTGTGTGTGGTTGTGTGGCCAGACTAGCGTGTGGTTGTGCTTGGCCATGAGTTGTTGGTTGTTTGGTTGTGTGAAGAGCATGTGATCATGAACTGCCTGTGGTTGCATGGCCATAACTAGTGTGTTGTTGTGTGTAGCTATAAGGTGTGTGACTGTAACCATTATGTGTGTGGTTGTATGGCCATGAGTTGCCTCCTAGGACTTACATGTGGTTGAATGTAGCCATGAAGTGTGTATGGCTGCGTGTCACCATGACTGGTGTGTAGTCGTGTGGCCATGACTTGCATACAGTTGTGTTCCTTGTTTGGTGTCAAGACATGTGTGCTGTGTCACAGGGGGTGCTGCATGGTTGCGTAGGCCTTGCGCAGCTCGTTGAGTGTGAAGCTGGCAGGGTGCAGCGTGTGTGTGTGTCCCCTCCTCTACCCGCCTCTCTCGCATCACAAACGCACTGTGGCTCTTACACAACCCCACAGGCCGAACCACAACGCAGAGTCCCACAATGCTGCTTGCAGCCTGGCGCTCCCTTCTGGTCAGACGGAGAAATGCCCTGGGACCCAAGAGTCTGGGCTCCTGGACCCCCTCCTCTACCTCGCCCCCCTCCTGAAGGGGGTTGGGATCCAGGTGTCCGGGCTCCTGGCCCCTGTTCTCTGCCTGGAAGTGAGGGGAATGGGTGCTGGAGGTGACGGAGTGGTAGCACTGCTGGGCCTCTGCCTCCATCCTTCCTTCCCCACCTGCCTTGTTCTCTCCATCCTTCTATCTGGTCCCTGCCCAGAGGAGAGGCACACATCCCCTTGCTCTCCTTCTCCCACATGTCAGCCCCACCCCCAGCTGAGCTGCTGCCCCCACGGCAGGAGACGAGGGCAGCACAGAGAGCCCCCGGGCACCCAGCTTGGCCCCTCCGCACACCCACCCACTGTGGTGACTCTGTCAGATGGTGTCTATCAGCTCCATCCTCATCACCCATTCAGCCATCCCTGTAGGACCCAAGCATCCATCCAACCAGCCAGACATCCTCATCGCGCTCATCCATCCATTTCAATAGCTTTATCCATCTGTCCTCAGAGCTTTACCCGTCCAGCCATCCCCATAGCCCACGTCCCTCCCTCCATCCACCCATTATCCATCCCTCATAACCTCCCTCCCTCCCTCCCTCCTTCCTTCCATCCATTCATCCTTCCATCTATCCATCCATTCCCATAGCCCCAGCCCACGCCCCCTCCCTCCCTCCCTCCTCCTCTGCTCCTGCGCTGCTGCTGCCTCTTCAGCTCCTTCTCCCTCTGTCTCCCCCTCTGTTGCCCTCCCCCCCTCAGCCGCCCCTCGCCTGCATCTCTCCTGCATCCCCGCCGCCTTGCTCCCTCTCTTCGCCTCCCCCTGCTGTGCCTTCTCCAGTTCCTCGTCTCCATCCCTCTGTCTTCCCCATCCCCGGTCCCTCTCCCCTCCATTTGCCATCCCTCCTTCTCCATCAGCCCTTCTCCCTCTGTCTCCCCCTCTGTTGCCCTCCCCCCCTCAGCCGCCCCTCGCCTGCATCTCTCCTGCATCCCCGCCGCCTTGCTCCCTCTCTTCGCCTCCCCCTGCTGTGCCTTCTCCAGTTCCTCGTCTCCATCCCTCTGTCTTCCCCATCCCCGGTCCCTCTCCCCTCCATTTGCCATCCCTCCTTCTCCATCAGCCCTGGTCTCCATCCCTGCACCTCCCTGTCTCCCCCTTCTCCATTCCTCCCGCTGTCTCCGTCCCTTCATCTCCCCTCTGCCCCCTGCCATCCTCTCCTCCTTCCCCAGCTCTCCCTTTGCCCTGTCTCCATCCCTCTATCTTCTCTGCCAGCCCTGGCTCTGCCTGCTGCCTCCATCCCTCCCTCCCCTCCTATCCCTGCTGTCTCCATCCCTCCATCTCCCCTCTGGTTTCTCTCCCTCCATCTCCCCCGCTCTCCTCCTTCACGCTGCCTCCATCCCCCCTCTCTCCATCCCTCCATTTCCCCTTGTTTCTCTCCCTCCATCTCCCCGGCATTCTTTCTCTCCCTTCACGCTGCCTCCGTCTCTCCTCCTGTTTCTCTCCCCCTCTCCTTTTGATCTGTCTTCATCCCTTTATCTCCCCTCTCCATCCCCCGCTGTCTCCATCCCTCCATCATCCTCGTCTCCCGCTCTCTCCCTTCTCCCTCTCTCCATCCCTGCATCCCGATCCCTCCATCCCCCTGTCTCCATCTCCCCCCGCTCGCTCTCTCCCCGCGCCCTGTCTCCATCCCTCCATCCCCTCCTCCCTGGCCCCGTCCCTTCCCCCGCCCGCCCGCCGCG